GCAGCCAAGGCTCTAGCTCCCTGGACTGGCTCCAGCCAGTCGGCCATAGGTGGCTGACCATCAAGTTAAACCATAAGGACACCTGAAAGCATTCTGTATTGGCCTGTTGTTTTCATTTTGCTTTCTGAATACATAAAGCTTTAGAAATACTTCATTCTTTCTTCATGTTCTCATCGCTGAATTCCTATTGCATTTTTATGGGACAGAAAATTATATGTTAAAGAAACATAGAGCTTTATTAATGTTTTGCAGAAGGCAAGACAAAATTAAAATTCCATTCTGAGTTTTTTAAATTGAACCCTTCTGTAAAAATTATTTTTTTTTCCTTTTTAATAAAGATTTTGAGAGAAGTTAAATTACAAGTTACACTGAGGATTCTCAATATCTAGCTTTAATCCTGTTTTGTCTTTGTTTTACCATGGTGACAGTACAAAAGTGGATGAAGCTCAAACAAATTCAATGTTTAGGAATTCCGGTATTCTGGGGATCAGGATTGGCTGAGTACAATGGAAAAAGGTAATAAGAAAGTGAATTGAATTCAATGCTCTTGGGCATAAAGTGGCCTGAGTATCTATTTTCAGTGAAAAGCAGGAAGTTTTGTTTTAACCTTGTTGAGTAAAGCTGGCTGCATTCTCTTCATATGAAGGTTTTTCTCATTGTATGTTTTTAATAGTTATAGATTCATGGTCATGGAAAGATTAGGTATAGACCTGCAAAGAATATTTGATGCTGAACGCAGATTTGAAAAAGAACTTGTTCTGCAGCTTGGGATCCGAATAGTAAGTATAGGAGAAATGAAATGTTTCTGTTTTGACATACTTTGTTTTTTCTAATGAAACCTGTTTTTTCCTGTAATGATATCTGTCTGGACCCCAATTAGGGTTCAAGTTACGGGCTTACATAAAAACTATGCTGAATTTGGAGCTTTACAGTGTTCTCTTAAAATGAATCACGCTTTCGTGGAACAACAGTGTTAACAGAAGCTGGATCTACTTGACATTAAAGCTCTATGTCCCTAAGCCAAAGTTCACTGAAGTCCATGAAGAGAGTCCTTTTGACTCAGTGGGCTTTGAATCAGCCTTTAGCTTGGAATAGCGACCAGATGTTGAAATATAGGTGCCAAAATCCATATTTAAATGCCTTAGTAAAGTGACCTGATTTTTTGAGATTTTAGAAACACCTTATTTTAGGCATCTGCGTTTGACAGTTTTAGCCATTGTGCTATCAGGAGTGCTGTTTTGTTTAACACAGTCTGACTGAGATTAGCCTTTTGGGTTATAGATACATCATCACCTTGATTTTTCTGGTCTCTCTCAGCTTGCCTAGATTATTAGGAGATTGTATGATGTTTCCTTTGAGGGCAATGGCATTTTTTTTGAGAGAGACTGGTATTGAATTAAAAATGGGCTTTTTAATGATCTAATAAAGGGCCTTTATACTGCCCCTTGATTATCCTCTCTGTATTCTGCCACTGAATTCTAGTCACTATGATTCTTTTCCTCTTGTATAAAATGACCTGCTGCAGACATGCCACTTCTTTTTTTGCAAAGTAAGAAATTACCACACCCTCTTCAAGAAAAAAAATTACTTATGAAGTACTGGGTGGGAAATAATGAGCAGGCTTAAGGTCCAGTATCTTGTGAGCCATCAGAATGAAAAATGAGTTTGATCCCTTTGGAGAGCTTGAAATTCCCACAGCCCTTCCATTGTTATAAGATATTTGTTTCAGTGAATCGTGAGATAAAAGGCCTTGCGATGACAACATTATTGCGAGTAAAGAGATTTTAAAGACTTCTTAAATCCTCTGGGTACTTACACAGGGTAAATTGTGGCCCAGTTAGCAGTCCCTTGCATCTCTGTGTCTGCTTCTAGCACTATGGAAGCAGAGGCAGGTGAACGGAGTGAAGGGGGAATGAGCTGAATCTTGCCTTTACTTCTTGACATACACCTGGCAAGTTCTTTTGTGATGGGTGTAAGTAGAGGAGCCTGGCAGGGGACTGTGACTCATTAATTCACAGTCTCTCTCCAGGACTTTTTCTAACTTAGAGCAGTTAATTGCCTCACTATCTAGCATGGGATGTAAGCAACTGAGGCTCATTGAATTTTGGGGGCAAGGAGGTATGGTGATAATGATGATAATGCTTCCTTTCTTCTTTTTAGTTGGATGCCTTGGCATATATACATGAAAATGAGTATGTCCATGGTGACATTAAAGCTGCAAATCTGCTTTTGGGTTACACAAACCCACATGAGGTAAGTACAATGTCACTTACACGTGCAGTTAGTGTAACACTTAGAATGTTTATTCATCAACAATAAGCCATACATTGTTTTTGCATTATGAGTCCATGTATTAAACGTTACAGGATCTTATTGTATAAACACTGCCTATTCAAGTGTGAATTGTTGGGTCAGATCCTCAGGCCCACAGTGCTTTTGCCCGGTGCAACAGAGGAGTGATGTGAGGAAAGGTGATATTCTAACTACCTGTTGGCTCCTCTGATTCTTAGGCTGCCAGAATATAACTTGGAGCAATCTCAGGCTTGTTCTAAATTGTGCCTTATAGAGCTGTGTAAAGACATTTCTTCAGGGATCTAGCCTATTGTATTCATAGCTTTCTGAAGATGTTTTTGTTTTCATGATATTGTATAAATACTGTTGTTACATGACTTTTATTTTATCATTTTCAGTCTAGACCGGTCTAGCAGATAAATATTATGAAGATATTTGTATGTTCTTAGCAGCACTGGGTGTAGAGTGCAGTACTTTAAGATGTTAGAGCTAACTATAAAATGAAAATCTTTTTTTCTAAAATGCACCAATTCAGAATTTTTGCTTTTTTTTCAGCTCTTGTCATATATTCTAATAACCATAGGGTGTCCTAGGGAAAATTGTTCAAAACATTACATTTTTACACATTTTTACAGTTTACTGCTTTTTCTTTTTAAAAGTTTCTACTCAAATTTTCACCAGCTCTTATGAATGCTTTGATTTCTCCCACCCTTTTTGATACTGCCCCCAGTGATTCACAAATAGAGGTTGTCTGATTATTTTGATACATTCAGAAATTGAACCATGGAACTACCAAGGACCTCTTGGTGTTTCTGAGTTCTCTTTCTTTATTCTAGAACTTTTAAGTTTTGCAGCTCATATGATCGTTCCACATCAACTTTTAAACCTCCTTAAACAAATGATTTAAAATGTTATACAGGCTATTTAAAATAGCTGCATATGTGCTTTTGTGATAATCAGTCCATCATATCCAATTATGGTAGCATTTAGATTAGTAAACTCGTCTCGGAGATATTTGGGAAACAAATCATCAACCACCTTAGCTATTAAGCAACTACAGTTTTTCCCACTGAAATTATTTTGTGTTGTACAGTGAAGATTTAGCAACTGTAAAGTTTGGCTGTGGACAGAGGTACATGGACAAAGGGCACATTCAAACAGTGTACCTGGGAGCAAAAGATTCTGGAGCAATAAGCTCTAGAGTTTATTCTTATGCATTAATCACATGTGTAGATGCATCCAGCATCTGTTCGCTGAGTCCCTGTTGATAGGAGCTTAGTTTTTAATAACTGCCAAAACTTTTTAGCCATATAACTTGGGAAGTATGGCATATGTGTTTATTGCCAAATAGTCTTTTTGCTTAGATCTTTATCCACCACTGTAGGACACAGTCAAATATTTGTCTATAGATAAGTTCTAAGTGTAAGTTCCAATAGAAAAAGATTAGGGATGGAGGAAATGTAATACCTGGCTGTTGGGCTGGAGTAGGCTGGGGATTAAACATTATTTGTAAATCCCCAGGCAAACAAAGAGAAGGCGTTAAGTGCTTACAATCGCAAGATGAGTTCAAAAAGAATAAAATTGACCAACCACAAGCTGAGTCACTCAATTACGTTCATATTATCATAGCTGTGACTTCAGAGGAGCTAAGATAATATTACACAAGCCTGGGATCCAGCCTACCATGGTTGGAAAAGCTGTGTGACGGTTTGTTGTTACAAACGTTTCAGGATAACGCTTACTATACTTAGCATGTACAGCAAGGGAGATGGCCCCAGGCCTGCAATAACCACAGGACTTTTGTTCATTCAAATGTAAAGGAATCTTCTGTGGGTAGTTTTCTCTGTTTTTCAATATATTTTATCCCAGTAGTTTGTTATGCATGCAAAACTGAGAATAACACTTTACCAACAGTATTACTACAATGTTCAAATTGGCAGGATTAAAGCAGACTGAGCACTGTAATAATCCTCCTCCTGGAATCTTCATTATAGGTCCAAACCCAGGAGCTGCATGCTTGCATAAATGCTGCTGAAGTTAGTAAGAGTTCTGAGCCTGGGGTCCTGGCAGGATCAGCTCCCGTATGGTTCACTGTGTATACTGCCACTCACAGTATATACTACCCTCCTTGAGTTCTGTATCCTGATTTAAATTGACTTTCTCATATGCTGCTTATCCAAATTTATCATCAAACTAACAAAATAATTCTAATACAATAAATGGCTTAGTCTGTCTGTCTGTCTGTCCGTCTGTAACGCTCTTGGAGCACTCTGATGATTGGTTTCTGAAACAACCAATCAGAGTGCTCCACGAGCATTATGGACAGGAGGTAATGCAGCAGAGCGCTGCCATTAAAGTGAGGATGGAGTCGGGGGGACGAAGCAGGGTTAGGGTTAGCAAGTTTCCCCCCCACCATCCATCTCCGCGAATTCTTGATGGGCAATTTGTTAGTATATCATAAGGTTTCATAGGGCAACTCCATTAACTGAATGGGGAGACTGAACTATCATTATGTCATATATTTTATAATACTTTTATATGACCAGTTTTACTTTTAATGCGGTAATGCTGCTCTAATGTCCCTACACACTTCACCTGAGGTTTGAACCTTTAGATATTACTTGGAGGATGGGTATTTTTCTATTACCTTTTTTATACCTGTAAAGCATTTTTGATCCTATTGTTTGAAATAGGTGGATGGCATTCAGTGCAGCCCATAATGTGACTAAGCTATTAAGTCAGGAGTTGGCAGAGTGAGCCATTGGCAGGGTCAAAGTAGAGTACAGGATGACTGGAGATATATCGCTAAAGCACATGCAGGCATTGCTGTGTGGTGTCTGTGTTGGGATTTGGGTGAGGGAGTGGTTGTTACAGAACATGACTGCTACTCTTAAAAGTTTATTCTTAAACTGATGACCTGTCAGTAATTATAGTAGCTTTACAGTATACTTTTAAATATTTAAAAAACAACACTTTTGGTATTTATTTCCTGATTCTGCTTTTAAATTTCAAGATTTAGGCTTCCAGAACTGGACATGTGCATTTGCAATCATATTTTGAATTGGTTCTTAACTGGCTATTTCCACATACCACTATAGTGCATGAAAGTTAGACAAACAGATCTGTGTACAGAGTTCCAAAAAATTATCTTCTGACTTACTACAGGGCTGAGAGAGCCTATTACTCTGTTAGTTGGTACTAAGAAAAATATATTCTTTTTAATGCATTCTTTCTCATTTCCTAAACTGCATTTTGAGAAGTTCTGCTGTTCTGTATTTTAATACTTTTTATTTTACCCTTTAAAATAAGTCATTTTTAATGCCTTTTTTTAATAAAGCATCTTGGAAGTTTGGACCACAACGATCACATTTCATGATTTCTTTTTTAGAACAACAAATATAACAAATAACATCTTAAATTTATAGTCATGTCTAAATCCTCTAGCAAGACAGAGAAACAAACAAAGCAAAGGTCTTGTCATTCTGTGACTTTCAAATGATGTTTAGAAATGGTTAGAAGATCAGAATCAACTGACCTCAGAGAGCAACTTGCTGCAAATCCATTCAATAGGTGGGAGCAAGGCCATTCAGTGAGTTACAGGTCAAAAGAGCAATTCTGCAGTCAATATGTTTCTTAACATGGAGCCAACAGAATGACTGACAATGGAAGTAACTTATGAGGGAAGAACGGATGAAATCAAGAGAGTCTTGCAAGCAGTCTTGCAGTGAGTACCCCTATAAATTAGGAGTAGTAAAGCACTATTTCAGTATTGTGCTGGGCCTAAACACAATTCACTACATAGCAATAGCTTTTTATATGGCAGAACAGAATGAGCATTATTAATATAGACCCCCAAATGACAAAGCTGAATCAATTAACCTCCTTAAATCCTGGTACTATTGCAAGGGAAAACCTGGCTGACTACCATCAAATAGAGGCTTAAAATCAGAGAGATCTTTGTAAATGGAACAAGCTTTGAGAGTGTGCCTATTAAACTGTTGTAGCATTATACTTACGGAATATTGTGGCAGGCATCTGTACCCTCACATCTGCACTGTTACCAATTTTTAATACAACTATCTTAATACTTGATGGGTTTTTTCTTAAAGATGCAGCTGCTGGAATTGGATTATATATAACCTTATGGCTGGGATTCTCAGGTAGAGATGTAAAATGAAAAACAAGCTAAAAGGGAAACCTTAAAAACAAAAACTGTAAATATTTTTAACATGAAAAGGCAAATAGAAGAGAAACACAGTTTTAAAATCTCCTTTTTTAAGTCCATGCCATGTCTTGGGGTCAGACTTAGGATTCTTAATGTTTGACATTGTCAGTATTCATCTGAGCCCTTTCTAATAAATTATCTTTACATGATGCATCCTTTTTGTTGTGATGTTGTTTGTTGCATATATAAGTTGATAGAATCTACATTTTCAGGTACAGTATTAAATAGTTAAGTGTTGACAGCATTATGGCCTTTCCCTTTAACAAATAAAATATAGAAGTAATCTCAAACACTGATTAAGAATTCAATAGGAAAAACAAACCTATGGAACCTCAACCATTTTCAGTTTAAATTTGAGTGGCTGTTCATCATGGAAAAAGTTCTTTCACTTTCATTAGGTAACCAGCCTTCATTACCGTCCCAGGCAAGAATGTCAATTTTTGGTATTGGCAAGGAACGTACTTTTGTAGGAGAGAAAGGTCTTCTGTAGGAGAGAGAGGTCGATCTACTGGCTTTTGACATGGCATTTATAAGATTATTCTTGTTGTGAAGGCAAACGACAGTCTGATACAAAAGGACAAAATGGAACAGAAAGTAAAACTACACTCGCTGAGTAGCCTCCTGCTTTTATGTGTCGTAGGCAAGATACAGTGCCCGGACAAATCGGTCACAAACAGGCAGCAAGATTTATAACCTTTGTATTTTGACTCACTTTCCTGCTCTGGAGTAACATCCAGTTGGCATAGTCTGAGCTCCTCCTACAAATTTTCTTTGTATGGTGAGGCTGGGCTTGGTTTATATTGCTGATGTGACTGGAATTATGGAGTTCATTTCCAAGTGGGAAAAGTGTGGTGTTGTGTGGATAGAATTCAAGAGAAAATGGAGAAGAGACAGGAAATAGAATGAGAATACAGTGACATGAGGAAAGGAGGACAAACCGTCTGAATAGCATGCACCCTTAGTTTTGGATTCAGAGGCTCTGTTAGGGATAGCTTGACATCCTCACTGGTCTAGCTGTTGCCTGCTTCTGTCATAGAATTTCTCCAGAGTTTATAGAGAAAGGTATCTGTTTCCTTACTATAAGGATGACCAAGATATCTAAGATTAGGAAGAAGGTAATGGGCTTCCTGTTCCCCTCTCAGTACTCAGAAGAGGGATAGTCAGTCCCCAACATCCTGAAGATGTTTTGATGGCCCTGAACATAATAATTTCTTTCTGCTTCTAGGATTTCCTACCTTACTGTTAAGCCCTGCTTCACTCAAAACAAACTCAATCCTTTTGAGTCCAAGTTACACAAAGGGAAGTTTAGGTTAGATAGTAGAAAAAAACTTTCTCACAAGGAGGGTAGTAAAGCACTGGAACAGGTTACCCAGAGAGGTTGTGGACTCTCCATCCTTGGAGGTTTTTAAGACCCGGATAGACAAAGCCTTGGCTGGGATGATCTAATTAACACTGGTTCTGCTTTGAGCAGGGGTTGGACTAGATGACCTCCAGAGGTCCCTTCCAACCCTAATTTTCCATGTTTCTGTGTTTCTAATTTTATATATAGTATGTGTACAATTTAAGACAACTTTTTTCCCCTTTTTTACTACTACAGTTCAGCCAGGTTTGTGCAAATTTAGCAAAGTATTTAAATCCTATGTCTTCCTCCCTTGGCCCAATTGATTGTATAGACTACAATGCTGTTGTCAACCTGTGGTCTGCAGATCTGTAGAAAAATGACTGTGATCAATCAAATATATGTGAATACCCATACTTAAATTCAAAGGAGTCTACACCTCCATTCAAAATGTCCAAAGGGGTTCGCACATCCATTTGATATTGTTTAGGGGTCCACAAATGAAAAAGGTTGAAAACCACTGCACATTTCCTCTATGGTGACCAATCTTCTTTTCCATCAGAAATGTTGATGTCAGGATCAATTTTCCCACCTATTTGTATTTATTTTTCTTTCTTCATTGTAGTTAGTGCTTTTTTTCTCCCCTTCCTACAATAATAACATTTAATTAAAAATCCCTGCAATGTGCAGAGTGAGTTAAAAGGGCACCCTGATTTGCATTACCAAAAGCTGACAGGCAACTAGGAAGAAGAATTATTTAGCATGGTAAAAGGGGTGTAATTAGGACTAATGAGATGAAATTAAGAAAAGGATCATTTACACTAAATGGGCCTGCTTCTGCTCCCATTGAACTTGGTAGCAGAATTGCTGATGGTGAAAATTTGGCTGCAAGGGAGTCAAAGGGAATTCTGTTGTTGACTTCAACTGGGCCAAGATTTCAGTCCTAGTAACTCCACAGGTAGAAGTTCAGCCCCACTAGGTGCATCTACACATGTGCTTTACTGAGGAGTTGACTAATTATCTCCTCAATAAAATGTCACAGTCTACATATGTGCTGATATTAGGTGCAGTAAAATAATTAACTCCGCTATAAAATAGTGCTGTTGGGGATAGTACTATTTTACAATGGAGTCATTTACTACACTGGAATAAATGCACATGTAGACAGTGACTGGGTGCGGGGGTGAGGGGCAGACTCCTGCCTGCCACCTAGCTGTACTTGCAGCATCCTCATGCCCTAGCCAGCTCCTCTGCTGCCCAGTGCTACCATCTGGAGCCCAGGGCTGACCCCCGAGTCTGCTGCCAGCCTGATGCTTCTCCACCCTGGCTCAAAGTGCTGATGTCCTGGGAAAGTGTAAAGACTGCATCTGGGAGCAGTTGCCTCTGGCTCAAAGATCTCTGGAGTTTATTGCCTCACGTTAATTGAACATGTAGATGCACTCACAGTTGTGAAAAATCTGTTGCCTGTGAAAGATGTGGAAACCTCATCATCAGGTTAGTTTGAACTACACCGGGCAATTACACTGATAAATGAAACTTCAGAGTGTTAGGCAAACCTTAGTGTCTTAGAGTTAAGCTGTTACATTTCAAAAGACAACAGTGCTGAGTACAAGCTTTCTTAAATTTGCCATCTCTCCCTGCTTCCATCTGGGCTGGAAGTGTGGAGATGCCCTTTTTCACACTATTGTTTTTCTTAAATGTCAAAATCAAACTATATATTAAAAGTTAGCCAGAGTTATTAATGGCTTGTGTTCACTTTGATCTCACTTTTATTTGCACTTGCTCAGATCTACCTGTCAAAAATCTATAGTTAAGCAAAAAATCTGAACTAAGAACATCCTTTGCAGCCTCTTCTCTCCATGCTAACCCATAGAGTATTCACTGGACTCCTGTCCACCCACTAAGCTTGATGATATAGTAGCTTGAATTAGTTCTTTTACCATTCTCACTTGGTGCATTATTGATGTTAGGCTCAATTAAGGTGGATACTGGAGCATCAGGAAATACGCTGGAGAATTCAGGAGAAAATCAAGTCAATCAGCCCAACAAAGCTTATTTCTTGTCCCAGATTTCCAAATGATGCCTATAGTCTTTAATTTTGTATCACAGTTCAGTCCATCAGGTAAAAAACATAATCGGTAATCTTAAAAGCTATCACCCTGCAGGAGGAGAGTGCTGCATCCCAGCTTACACGCTCCAAATAAGCACAGAACCTGCAGCAGAAACAGTAAAACCAAGAAAGCAGACATCCCAAGATCTGAAGCTGCCTGGAGCACAAACAGGAAGCAGTGATTTCAGCAGAATGTGTTACAGAACAGGTTTTCAAGGTTTTTTTTTTTTCAGAGGAAAAGAAAGAGAAACCCACCCACAGTGATATAATTAAATTAAATGTAAACGCTTCTGCTGTTTGCATATGCCTGGATAAACGATTTCTTATTAAAGTTAAAAGGGAAGAACGAAAGCTACTTTAGAATTGACTTAGAAAAAAATGTTACCTTTTATTATAATGTATTTGAAAGATGTTTATTTAGAAATTCTTTCCATTGACTTCAGTGGGCTTAGGAGCTGGATAATGGTGCATTTCATATGTGATCTCAATAGCACCCTACATGATAGGGTAATAGGTGCTATAAATATTTACAAAAAGTAATTGACTGTTCTTGCAATGGGTAATGTAGAAAAGCAAAGATCAGGTAGGAGTTTGAAAATCTGCTACCAAGAAAACCACCTCATTTAGTCTAAAATATGCAAGTGGTAAAATAAACATATCTACCCTATTATTCAGATTCTGAGGATGAGGAAACTGAGGTAGAGTGAGTCAAATGAATTTCTCAGGATCACAGAAAGTCAGTAGTAGTGTTGTGTGTAAAACCTCTTCTCACCCTGTGTCTGCTGATCTAACCCATGGCTGTCTTTTTAATAGATTTCTTGAAGAAAAAAAAAAAAAGTGGTTTTCCCTGCAGTAGTACTGTCCACAGTCTGAAGTATTAATATTCACTTGTGTAGCTACGTATTGTTGTTTTCTTTACGTACTTACCTACCAGGAATAATAGTCAAAACCTTGGGGCTTTATTTTCTCTCTCTCTCTAGGTACTTTGGTACATATAGGCAGGCATCTTGAAAAGTGTGCTAGCGCAGTATGTGTAGATAAAGGTGTGTGTCATAAGAAGCAAACTTGCTCTGCAGTTCATAGTAGGAGCCAAAACCTGTTCTCTGTTATACCAGTACAAATCCATTAAACTCTCTGAGTAATTCAAAGCAGAATTTGATTCTGTATGCTTTCATTTTGTTTTCAGCATAACTGACAAACATTTAGTTTCGATTGTTTATGGGGTTTTTTGTTTTGTTTTATTTAACCAAATGTGTCCTGTACTAGCTTACCGGCAGTAATAATAGTAAAGATGCAGCTATGATCAGTCTAGTGACTAGCAGTGCCATTGTCAAGTTCTGTATTCTAACTGGGATTTTGCATTTTAGGGGAATGAGGTACTTTTCACTTTTTATGTTTTTATAGGCCTTGCTATTGTAAACTTGTCTAATAAATCTTAGTTGGTGAAAGATTTGAGTGCGTGCGTGTGTGTGTGTGTGTGTGTGTGTGTTTAGCAAAGCGTGGAAGGGGTCCCATAAGCAGTATGAGAATAGATAAAAGACATATTGCAGTTTATGATGTCTGGATGCCCACCTGGAGAGAAGAGAGCTTAGGAACAAAGTAAAAAGACTGAAATCCTATTCTACTCTGAAATAAGATAAGAGTGTGGTAGAGGATGGATTTAAATGGGGAGGGCAGCTGTTACAGCCCCCAGTTGTACATATTTTATCCTGAGGCACCATTTGGTTTAATAAAATGTGGATCTAAGGCTGTCCTTAACCTACCAGTTTCTTAAGACTTAATTATAAAGGTTATACTTTCAAAGGACAAAAGCATTATTCATTTGTCTGTTCATGTCTTCCAGGTTTATCTTGCAGATTATGGACTTTCCTACAGATATTGTCCCAATGGGAACCACAAACAGTATAAGGAAAATCCTAGAAAGGGCCATAATGGGACAGTGGAGTTTACCAGCTTAGATGCCCACAAGGGAGTAGGTAGGTCTCTTTCTTCCTTATATATTTCAGAGGAGTGATTACAGAATGAGTAATCAGGATGCATAAACTGGCACATGTACTGGAGCAATGGCAGGTATTGTTGAGAACTGATCAAATCCTTATGTGAAAAGAGGTGACCATATCAGTAATGTTGCTTCAAGTGCTGATGGGAGGGGAATATTATTAAAAGTGAGAGGGCGCTGGGTAGATGATACTGGAAGGTGGAAATGGACCAGGAAGGTACAAGAGAAGTTTTACATTTAAAAACAGAGTTGGTATTGGTAATAAGAAAGAGTG